TATATATATATATATGTAACATTATTTTGTGTTAATATGCTGACATCTAGTGTTTGAAGTATGAATTGCAGAATAAAAGTACCTCAGTGGCATCGAGGAACAATGTTTTACGTTTGCATTTTATTTGATAAAATACAGTAGAAATTCTTGAAAATGTCTTTACCTTAGTTTTGATCAATTTAATTCATCCCTGACAAATACAAGTTATTTATTTATTTATTCAAATACATGACTTAACACAAACTTGTCAATTGATTTTTGCAAAATAATAGTGCAATAAAAAATGGACCTAAAAGAATTTGATTAACTATAGGTTATGAATGTCAATTTCGACTAATTATAAATATATATATATATTACACACACAAACAAACACACACACACACACACACACACACACACACACACACACACACACATACAGTATTTTTGTCTCTTGTTCCCCTTTATCTTTTATGTGCAAGATTTAATTTTTGTAATAAAAAAATTATGTTTGATAGTGTAAAACTGTCATAACTAAAAGTAAGAAAACTATTAGATCAATACAAAAGTAAAAGTTTATTATACAATTTTATTTTATAACTAATTTTTTTATTTTTTTAGTCATCACATTTTTAGAAAATGTGTTATGTGAAATGTGAGTCTATCTCCCTATGTCTCAGACTATATGATATGTCTATATATGTAATATGCACACATTTTATTTCTATATAAAAATGTAAAATTGTTGTGTCTATATGCTGACATCTAGTGTTTAAAGCATAAATTGCAGAATAAAAGTACCTCAAGTGGTAATAACGAGGAACATTGTTTTGTTTGCATTTATTTGATAACATACAGTAAAAACAGCATTATCATGAAACCGTCTTCAATTACATTTTTTATCAATTTAATGCATCCATGCTAATTAAAGGTTTTATTTAATTATATATTTATTCAATTATCCATTCATTTAAAGACATGACTTTACCCAGCTTTCCAATTGTTTTTCACAACATAATAAAGTGTATTAATACGAAATATTTGGGTATCAAATCAACATATCAAAATTATTTTTTTAAAGGATAGTGTGACACTAATAACTGGAATATTGATGCTGATAATTTAATTTTGCCACAAGAATGAACTGAAAGTACTTCCCAAAAGAAACTAGTCAATATTACGTTACAATATTAATGATTTTTCAGATTTTCTGTATTATCAAATAAAATAAATGCAGCCTTGGTGAACAAAACATCTCACAAAATCAAAATAATAATTAATAATAATTTCTAGCAACAAATAAACAAATTGGAATGATTTCTGAAAGATCATTTGGAACTGAAGACTGAAGTAATGATGATCAGAATTAATTTTAAATAGCATATATAATGTATACAACCTTCAAACAATTGCATACAGTATTATTATTAGTTGCTTTTTAATATTTATAGACTGTTTTACAGAATTAATATTTTACAGACTTTTATCAAACAAATGCACACGAAAAATTATAATAAGTCTTAATTATTCCACACTTTAGGTCACAAAGTATACTAGCAAAAGTGAATAAGCAGTTTTTTAATCATTTCACCACCATACTTCCTGATTTACACCCACAAACACATGGAGGAAGTAACCGAGGGTCACATGAGCTCTAAAGGTCACCTTCACAACAGTGCCAGCAGCCTGTATGGTTTGAGGAAACATGTGAACAATAGTGGCAAATGATCTGCACTCACACACAAACACACTCCTTGTTAAGATGAATGATTAACTGCACAGATAAAGAGAAGGCAGCTCTGCTTAGTCTTCAGAGAGGAAGATTTGAGGTAGAAATATAGAAAAAAGACAGAAAAGACGAGTCAGTCCACTTAGCTCATTTCACATTGCTCATCTCGGTCTTTCATGGAGGAGGGAGTTCAAAAGCCTAGGAAGATTGAACTGAATGATGGCACGTTCATGCCACTGCTGGGACTTGGGACATGGAAGCCAGAGGTAGCGTTATGATTCTACAAACGGCCTTATGCTATAGCTTCATTTACATGCATTTATTTACTTATAGGTTAAATCCGGAATGATCAGGAGACTTTTAAACATTTATAGGATTATCAGATTTACCTGAACATAACTGGGATTTGTTGGCACATTTTTAAGATGTCAACAAACAGTCAAATTTTACACTGTTTAGTTAATCAGTTTCATTAAATTATTGGAAATTCTATGAAAATATTATTATCTATCTAGATCTAAAATTATTGCATAAATATAATGTTTGATATTAATTTTATGTGAGAAAATAATAATAAAATAAATACAATTATTAAAATAAACACAATAAATTTGAATATATTTATGAATAATATGTAAACATTATTTATAAAATAAATTTTAACTGTATTTTATTTTGTGCATGTAAATTCATTCATTTCCTGAAAATTATACACACAATACCCAATAATGACAATGTGAAAAAAGAGTTTTTGAAATTGTTGCAAATTTATTAAAAATAAAAAACGGAAAAATCACGTGCTGAAGTATTCACAGCTTTTGCTCAATACTTTGTTGATGCACCTTTGGGACCAATTACAGCCTCAGGTCTTTTTGAATACGATGTCACAAGCTTTGGCACACCTGTCTTTTTTGCCCATTCCTCTTTGCAGTACCTCTCAAGCTCTATCAGGTTGGATGGGAAGGGACTGTGTACAGCCATTTTCAGGCTGGGCCACTCACGGACATTCATCGAGTTGTTGTGAAGCCTCTCCATTGCTATGTTGGCGGTGTGCTTTGGGTCTTGCTGGAAGATGAACTGTCGCCCCAGTCTGAGATCAAGAGCGCTCTGAAGCAGGTTTTCATTCGGGAGGTCTCTGTACATTGCTGTACATGTACATTGCATCTTTCCCACTATCCTGACTAATCTTCCAGTTCCTGCTGCTGAAAAACATCCTTACAGCATGATGCTGCCATCAACATGCTTCACTGTCGGGATGGTATTAGCCTGGTGATTAGCGGTGCCTGGTTTTCTCTATACAAAACACCTGACATTCACTGAAAAGAGTTCAATTTTAGTCTCAGTAGACCAGAGAATTTAGCTTCTTATGGTCTGAGAGTCCTTCAGATGCCTTTTGGCAAATTCCAGGCAGGGCGTGGCTTCTGTCTGGCCATTCTACCATACAGGCCTGATTGGTGTATTGCTGCACAGATGGTTGTCCTTCTGTAAGGTCAAATCAAATCACTTTTATTGTCACATCATCAGCAGCACGTGTGCTATGATGAGTGAAAACCTTAGGTTCTCTTCTCTCAACAGAAGTAGCTGGAGATCAGACAGAGTGACCATCGGGTTATTGATCACCTCCCTGACTAAGAACCTTCTCACCCGATCATTCAGCTTAAGGCTGATTTATACTTCTGCGTCAAAGACCGGCGTAGGCTACGGCGCTGACGCATAGCCCTTCGCCGTGGCCGTCGCCGTCACTGACGTGCACCTCTCAAAAATTGTAACTACACGTCGCAACAACGCGTAGCGCAAGCTCTGTGATTGGTCGGCTTGCTAGCGCCGACGAGTCTGGGCGGGACCGAGAGCCGCGCGAATGGCGCGAGCGATTGTTTACAAGTGTGGAATCCCGTGAAGGAGTTCCGGATGGAAAGTTTTGTTTTGTGTTTACCTCATAGTTAAAGTTGTTGCGCGTCCGCCGGTTCCTGCCTCAAAATGAGCGAGTTTGAGTCACTTGTACATCCAGGAAGTGTTCAAAATAGCAAAACAGAAGCGAAGAAACTCGACAGAGGAACATTACCACCTCACTGCC